CCCAGAGGCCACAGCCAGCCCCGCCGAGCGCCACTGAGTGCGCTTATGCCCCAGGATGGCCCCATCACAGGTCTGTGGCCGGACCCAGTCCCAGAAGTGCCGGGGGAGGCGGTGGGGGGGCTTAGGCAGGCATGCTAAGCAACATGAAGGAGGTAGAGAGAGGGACCCCATGCACTGCTCCCCTGGGAAGCCACACAGACACGAAGGCCGCGGGGCCGCGAGCCCTCGGGAGGCTGCGGGAGGGTCCCCTCTCCAGCCGCTGCCTCCCGTCCCTAAGCCACATCCTGCGCTCTGCTCGCAAGGACACGAGTCCAGCCTGACCTCCCTCCCCGCATCCGCATTCCAAACTCAGCCACATCCCGGGTTTCTGGCAGATGGGAATCTGGGCGGCACACGGGGCATCACCCCCACCCCGCAGGTGTCCACTCCATGTCTGTGCCGCATCTCAGAAGCCCGTTGGGATCTGTGCGTGAAAGTGGCCCAGTGGCTGCCCCCATCCACACCTGCTTCACTCCCTTCAAGAGCAGGTCGTCAGAGGGGGTGAAATGCACCATTAAGAGAAAGGGAATCTGAGCGAAGTTTGGGATCCTGGCTTCCAATGCCGTCACCCGGGGCCCGCACACCTTAATTCAGATCCCAACCTTCACAAAGGACCCTGAGGACCGAGGGAAGCAGAGCAGTGACCAGCTCTGCCCCGGCGCCGGGAGCCCAGCCTGCATCCAGATCGGGGCCACAGGGAACCTCGGAAACACGGCTCCACTTGGGTGCATTCAGCGTTTCTTGAACACTCCCCACTCTGCCTCAAGTCATAACACCGGGACCCTCTGCCTCTGTGCTTGCTGAGAAGACACAGAGCCAGGCACGGCCACTGACGCAGCACCAGGGAAAGGCAGCCTGAGGTTCTGAGGAGCAATGGCAGGTGCTCCAGCAACCTTAGGGAGAGGATGAGGACACCAGAAGCACCAGCCTCACACCCGCCCCCTGTCCATCTGTGCGGTCCTGGCCTGCCCTGGCCCGATTCCTGGTGTGCTCACCAGGTCTCAGTTTCCCTTGCGCCATCCATTCCACATGTCCCTTTAAAAGGGGATCCTCCGGGGGCTCCTCTGACGCCCCATTGCTGAACCAGAGTATGGCTCTTGGATCACTGAAGTTTCAAGGTGAAAGTCTGGGAATGCAGCATCGTGTATGTTTTTATTTCTGGGTCTCACTTGGCTTTTACCAAAACCATAGGTGGTTAGGTTTGCGCAAGTGGAAGGCTCGACTACGATCTGGCAGGACTCCTGAGACTTTTCTCTGCTTCCTGAAGATCGGAGGGTTATAGAACAAGGATGTTTGCAAGTCTCTGCTGCCTGAAGCAAGGGAATGTCACTGGGACAAGGTGAAGCATCTCGTGTGAGATGCTCAGACCCGGGCAGGCCAGCTGTGGGTGCAGACACAGCACCCGGAGTTTGTGACTTCCAGAAACAGAAGCGATCACTCGGCTAAGACCCTGCTGTGCTGGGGCAGATCTGCATCTGTGTTCTGTTAGGTCCCGCAGCGTGGGAACAGTCCATGAGCAGGAATACTCCGCATCCAACCAAAGAGCTGCACTTACTGAGGACAAGCAATTCGCACAGAGGCCGCCGTGGACCGGAGCCGGCGGCAGAGGCCGGGCTACTCCAGGCGCCCCACTGAACCTTCTAGGCCAGGCCCCCCACCCAATATTTGACAGGTGGAAAGCCTGAACTCTGTCTTCGCTACCTAATTCTGCAGTCAGGTAAAGGGAGTACCGTTAAAGGGGATTCGTTTCCATCCATCTCAAACCTCCAAGTGTCCCATTCGGTGGGCAGTCTTTCGGAAATAATCCAATGCCTTTGGGAGACCCCGTCACGGCCCCCAGTAAGGAATGTGCCCTCAATAGTCACAGTGCCCTTGTGTTAACCTCACCACTCATGATCACTTCCTCCAGCTTGGTGAGTTTAAGCAAACCAAGGCTGAACGAGGTCCCAACGACCCACGCGCACGCCCAGGTGCAGCTCACGGGGCCCAGTCTGGAAACTCTGGCCTCGGTCTGTGTAACCTGACGCCTAATGTCACCTGCGTCAGAAACCACCCATTGTCTTCACCTTCATTAAACAAAGAGTACAGCCCGGAGGAGCTCCCTGAACAGGCGACTCGAATTTCAGAAGCGAGTCTAGGCCACGCCTCCTCCAGCAGAAGAAACCACAACAGCCACGCAGAAACAAGCCGGGGTGAGCGCCGGCAGCCAGGTGAGGGCTCTGTGCAGCCCGGAGTGGCCGCACGCATGGCCACCGCCAGGTGGGGACACGGCCTCTTGCAAGGACGGAGGCCACTCTCAGAGAGTGAACTTCTCCGACGCAGGGCCACCACGCTGGCTGCTCGCGAGGCCGCTGTGTGCTGCCCGGGACCCCTGGCCACGCGGGGGTTCCACACCCGCCGGACTGAAGGGTGTCCCCCTGAAAGCCACACCTGCACCAATGCGGGTCCGCTCCTGCGCTGGTATGAATGTGCCCTCCTGGATGGACAGACAGGCAAGGAAGGACAGGACGGAAGGCCCCAGCGATGCTCTGCCTGAAGCACCAGTTGGTGCCGGGACGCACGTCCAGCCCTCCGTGAGGCCGGCCGCAAGCAGGCCCGCAAGCCCCCTGCCGGCTGGGGCTCCCGCGCCGTGTCCCGGGGCGGGGGCTCAGGAGGAACAGGTCCCCTGGGGGTCTGTCCCGGCACCTTCACCCTCGCAGAGCATATGGCGCGCTCTGGAACCGATCAAACCGGTTCTCCCCGACCAGATGGCAAGAGAACAATGGTTAAAACCAAACAAACCGGCGCAGGCCGCGGGCACCGGGGGACCTCGACTGCCCCCTCGCATCCGCCCAGCGAAGAATAAGGCTCTTCCTCACCCGGTGCCGTGGCCAGCACCCACACCGTCCACGCGCTATTCCATCCGCTCCTCACGGCGCCCGCCGGGGAGGTGGCAGCGTCCCCACGGACGGAGGAGGCACGTGGGGCCCAGGTGCAAGAGGGCTCCGTGCGAGGTCACGGGGGTCTCCAGGTATCGTCACCTGGATGGACCCCGACCTGACGCTGGCGCCGAGCTCGCAATCACCAACATGCTCTGCACCTGTGTGTGCGTGTGAGCACGCGTGGTTGATACGCACGCACACGCGCATCTGCAGAAACACTGCAAACAGAGGCACAACTCGGCCTGGGAGGACCCGACCGCCGCTCCCATCACGAGTGATCCGCTACCCGGAAAAACCGAAGCACCTCCCTGTCGTGACCCAGCAGACCCTGCTCCACAGGGGCCGTCCCGGCGTGACACCAACAGACAACAAAGCCACAGACATGCTTCTCGATCCTCAGAGCCAGAAAAAGCCAGACGAGGCTGCCCTCCAGAGCGGCGCCAATCTGCCCCAGGAACAGACCCGGCAGCTCACAGTGGGAAGGAGCCGAGGTGAGGCTCTTCCAGAACCTCTTGGAAGGGCTCCCGGCCCTCGGGACACCTGCAGAGCTGGTGAACGCCCCGTCGGGGAGAGGCCCCGGAGCTGGACGGAGCAGACGGCGGCCGGGTCAGATGCACAGAAGGGGGTGCTCGTGGTGCACAGCCGACAGCCTGAGGCGGACGGGAAGGAGGCCGCCTGCTCCCACACCTGAAGACTGATGAGTCACCACGAGCATGAGACAGCACGGAGTGGGAGGGCCATGGGCACACAGAGGACACGGGGCCTAGGGATGCGTGGACTGGCCAAAGGGCACCTGCCATCCGAATGCTGCTGGTCACTTTCCCATTTATGAGCAAGGCCTCCTTGGGGAAGGTGTTCGTGAGACCTACCTCCACAGATGCCCTGTGACACGGGAGACACGGGACCACGCTCCACACAGACACCCTGCGACATGGGAGCCACGGGACCACGCTCCACACAGACGCCCTGCCACATGGGAGCCACGGGACCACGCTCCACACAGACGCCCTGTGACACAGGAGCCACGGGACCACACTCCACACAGACGCCCTGCAACACGGGAGCCACAGTACCACAATCCACACAGACACCCTGCGACACGGGAGCCACGGGACCACGCGCCACACAGACGCCCTGTGACATGGGAGCCACAGTACCACAATCCACACAGACACTCTGCCACATGGGAGCCACGGGACCACGCTCCACACAGACGCCCTGCGACACAGGAGCCACGGGACCACACTCCACACAGACGCCCTGCGACACGGGAGCCACAGTACCACAATCCACACAGACACCCTGCCACATGGGAGCCACGGGACCACGCTCCACACAGACACCCTGCAACACGGGAGCCACAAGACCACACTCCACACAGACGCCCTGTGACATGGGAGCCACAGTAACACAATCCACACAGACACTCTGCCACATGGGAGCCACGGGACCACGCTCCACACAGACGCCCTGCGACACGGGAGCCACAGTACCAAATCCACACAGACGCCCTGCCACATGGGAGCCACGGGACCACGCTCCACACAGACGCCCTGCGACACGGGAGCCACAGTACCAAATCCACACAGACGCCCTGCCACATGGGAGCCACGGGACCACGCTCCACACAGACGCCCTGCGACATGGGAGCCACGGGACCACACTCCACACAGACGCCCTGCAACACAGGAGCCATGGGACCGTGACACACACAGATGCCTTGCAACATGGGCACCTTGTGGCCCACGTTCTACCCCTAAGAAAATGGACTGAGACATCTCCTGTCACAGAGAAGGAAACCCAGGCTGAGCACAGGGACCCCTGACGTTGGGCATCTGAAAGGCAGGCATGGCTCTGGTCACTAGGGAAAGCATGCGAGGGCGAGTACCTGAGGCCCAGGGTCCATGCAGAGGCTCTGTGAGTGGTGGGGGTCCTGTCTGAGGCCCAGAGGGAGCCTGACAGCCCCAAGGAGGGTCCCACATCAAGACAGAGACAGTCCCGCATGACAAGCCGGGACCCCAGGGAACAGCGAGGACTCACCTGTCCCAGGTACACCTGCACACAGCGGCGACTCACCACCTACAATGAGAAGACACAGGGTAAGCAGGTGGCTCCCAGGAAAACCCCACCCAATGTCCACTCAGGCTCGACCCCAGAGCTGCACCTGTCTGACCCCGCTCACAGCCCGAGTTCTAGCATCAAAGTCAGACAAGACCTGCAGTTAAGAGAATCCAGATTTTTCTTCACTTTTCTAGAGTCCAACTCCTTTCACAGGATTTCCTGCAAACCCTGGAGCCTCCCCCTAAGAGAAACGCCCTGTGCTCATGCACAGAATATCCTCTTCGATTTCAAACGACCAGTGGACTCCAAGGCTAGGAACTTGGGAGCTAGCGGGAGCCCCTCCCGGCCACGACAAGGACGTGAGGGCCCTGCCTGGTGGTCTTCAGGCTGCCCCCACCACCACACCCAGCGCTCATATTCCTTACAAAGTGGACCGCCTTTTCTAGAGCTCTTTCCACAAGTGGGACAGAAAGCAGATGAGTGGCCCCAGGGCTCGGCCTCCCCACCTAAGTGGGGGAGATAGGAAGAGCGTGGGTGCTCAGAACAGGCCGGCATGGGGCAGGCTCTCACACTCCAGGACCACGGACCGTCCCTGGGCAGACAGGGCTATCAGCGGGTGAGGGGGTCACTCTGGCCTTGTGCGGTCCTGGGAGGCCAGGATCCTGGCACCTGCCAGTGAGATTCAGCTCTCCTCCCCCAGGGCCCCTCGTACCCCCCTCCTCAAGTAAAAACATGCACAGGAAGGGAGAGACCCCCAGGGATCTAACCGTCCTTGTGGGTGGCAGCATGACCTTGACTCTTGCCATGCAGACTATTTATAACTGTTGCTTATCTTCTGAAGTTCTCAGAGAACATGACACATGGTCATTCATTCATCTGGGACATACATCGCTCCAGCAGGAGGCTGACTCATACACTCGCCTGGGGCGGGGCCCCGTCTCCTGGCACCGACCCTCTCCCTGCCTGGACCCCCTCCCCACACACAGCCTCTCACTGCCCAGCACCGCTGACCCAATGGCCGGCTTCCCTGCCCTGACCGACACCCCCTGGAAACAGGAACACCTGCTCAAGACACGCACCTGTGTATCAAAGCCCAATGAGTGCAGGAGGGAACATGTGACCAATAAACATAAAGCAAAAATAAAACAAAACAAAAAAAATGTCTCTGGAAATAGGGGAAGTTACAGACCGGTGCCTACAGGGTGGTGGCGGCCAGCCAGGCAGGCCCACGGAGCTCGGCGGTCCCCCGTGCACCACTCTATGGGACACCAGGCAAGGCCGTGCAAGGAATCAGGGCTCCCATCTTTGAAAACTCACTATCTGCATTCCACGCCATGGAACATTATTCAGCAATTAAAAAAAAAAAAAGAAAAGATCCAGAGGAACCTCAAATGCATATCACCAACAAAGAAGCCAGTGAGAAAGGCTAATACCAACTCTGTGACGTTCTGGGGAACACAGAACTGTGGGGACCGTAACGAGATCAGTGGTGGCCCACGGTGGGGGCTGGGGGGTAGTAAGCAGAGCACAGAAAGTGTTTAGTGAATACGGGCTGTGTGATGTTCTAACGGTGGATGCGTGTGACCCATCTGTCCAAACCCACAGAACGGGCAGCGCCATGAGCAAAGCTTAATACAAACTGTGGGCTTCAGTTAGTAAAATGCATCCATATTCGCTCATGCAGGTTAACAAGCGCACCCTGTTATTGCAACACGGTAACAGGGAACATCTGGAGGGAAATGAGAGTACCATCCACTTCTCAGTAAGTCTATAACTGTCCTTAAAAATAAAGTCTATTCGGGGCGCCTGGGTGGCTCAGTTGGTTAAGCAACTGCCTTCGGCTCAGGTCATGATCCTGGAGTCCCGGGATGGAGTCCCGCATTGGGCTCCCTGCTCAGCGGGAGGTCTGCTTCCCCTTCTGCCCTCTTCCCTCTCGTGCTCTCGGTCTCTCATTCTCTCTCTCAAATAAATAAATAAAATCTTAAAAAATAATAATAATAAGTAAAAATAAAGTCTGTTTATTAGGTTTCAGTTCGCTGCCCAGAAGCGTGTGTTTGTCGGCTGAGCAAAAGGAAAAGTCCTATGCAGTCTCGAAACCCATGAGTCTTACAAAGCGCAGCCCAGGGCACCTGGGTGGCTCAGTTGGTTAGGCGACTGCCTTCGGCTCAGGTCATGATCCTGGAGTCCCGGGATCGAGTCCCACATCGGGCTCCTTGCTCGGCGGGGAGTCTGCTTCTCCCTCTGCCCTTCCCCCCTCTCATGCTCTCTCTCTCTCTAATAAATAAATAAATAAATCTTAAAAAAAAAAAAAAAAAGCGCAGCCCAAAAGCCTTCTGTCCAGAAGGCAGGTGGGTCCTGTGCTTCCCACGTGCCTCCCAGGCCAGAGGGGGGTGGTGACACTGCCCACCTGTCCCCAGGGTGTCCTCCAGAGAATGAGAGCAGGCTCTGAGTCGGGGCTCCCAAATCCCACGGCCGCCCCCTACCCCCCACCCACCCCCCGCAGCCCCATCCTTGGCTGAACTCTGAGGAGCTCGGCCGTTCTTCACAGTGGCCACCTGGACAAGCCATCAGGGAGGAGACGTTCCTCAACGCAAAGTGCATAAGCCACCGTCTTTGCTGGAGAGCGAGAGGGGCCCCAGCTCAGCAGAACAAAGGACAAGCAACAAGGCTCAAGGCTTGCACTCCAGCCAGAGGGGAGCCTCAGATCCAGAGAACCAATTACAACCCTGCTGTCTGTGTTCACCAGCACCGTTACAAAATGCAAACAGAAAACGGGGAGGGCTACAATGAATTTGCAAATGAAATTGCACCAGAAGCGCCAAGTCAGAGAAGAGGGTATGGCCCAGGGGAGAGCCACCTGTCGGCAGAGAGAAAATGAATATTCACATCAAGAATGGCGAACACCTAGTTTCGCAAAGCCCATCCTCCAGTGGACACAGTGCGCACGTGTCCCTTGGACGTGGCTCACGCCAAATCCCAGGACGGGAACTCCAGGAGAACACACTGGCTTGGCTCGCTCTATTTCCTCCCTTGGAATAAGACAGAGGACGGCAGTGGACCCCAGTCTGGCAGGGCTGTGCTGGGAGGGTGCAGGGCGCACGCGTGGTCCCCTGTGGACCACCCTGCCTGGCACCCGGGATGTAAGCAGCCATGCAGAGCCCCCCCCTTGCATGTCCTAGACACTCGGGGGTTCCTTCCAGCTCTTCAGCCAGACCAGAGAGGCACAGTTCCCAGCTCCCAGGCTCTCCGCCAGCCAAGCACCTGCTCCTCCCCACCCACGGCCCGCCCACCTCGCCTCGGGACGGAGACACCAGGTAAGCAAGCCATGGGCAGCTGCTCGGGGTTCAGGTCGGGTCGGTAACGGCAGAGCCCACTCACCTGCTTTCTGTCCCCATCTTACTGCGACCTCAGATCACACACCCCGCGGGCCATCTGCTCTGCTCACTTCACCAAAGGAAATACCGTGGTGCTGGATGGTTTCCAGGTGGGCCTGGCCTTCCTCGTCATGCAGGGGCTGATGCTTCTGGATATTCAGGATCTGCAGGAGCCAGTCCTGTCTCACTGACGGAGCTAAAAACCCGGCGGCACCTGTAACGCGCTTCAGGACCGAGGGAGGGTCCCGATGGGGCGCTGTTTGCAGGGACCGTCCAACAGCAGGATGCCCACAGATCCCTGAGTGCACGGCCAGCGCGTTAGAGGGAGGACATGCCTGCACCCTGAGGGTCTGGGCAGTGCCTTCCTCAGAGCTCCTGCCTGCTCTGGGGGGTGGCCTGATCACGGTCGCAGGAGAAAGGGGCCCAGCGGCCACCACCAGGGTGCACTCCCGGGGATGCCCACGGCTCATGCAAGGGGCATCTTCACGTCCCACGTGCTGTGTCGGCAGGTCCCGCTCGCTGGCCCTCACTGCCAGCCAGAAAGCCAGTGACTGTCGCTTCGGTGCGTGAAGTGCTGAGTCCCACAGAGGCCGCGCAATGTGGGCAGATCCCACTGGGTCCAAACTCCACGTTCCTCCCCTGAAAGGAACGGCTCCACTCTCTCACTGCAAGTCCCGGGGGGGTGGGCGAGGGCGGGGGACAGGGGAGGGCGGCAGGACGAGCGCCGCCGGTGACGGAGACAGCCCCGGAGAGATGGCGCGAGGTCCGCTCTGGGGCCGTTTTATGGCTGCGTTAGGGGCCAAGTCACATAACCAAGGACGACCATAAACAAACAGGACTGCGCCCCGGCCACACCTCGCTCCGTTGCACCTGCAGCACGAGGTTCGAAAACTCCCCCCAAGCCAGCAGGTGGGCAGGCGACCCGGACAGGGAGAGCGAGACCGCCTCACAGGGCCTGACCGGGCCCTCTGTTTACCTCTGGAGATTAAGGTCCTGGGACAGAAATTACAGTTCATCCCTCCCCGTGCCCTACAGAGATCGTTTCCCTCCCCATTAGCTCAACAAAACAATGAGCTCAGCGTTTGTTGTTGCCAATTCTTACTAAAGTTTACTTTGAACAAAGCCACATAAAACAGCACTACTCTCTCCGGAAACGCGCGTGTATGATGAAGCCCCACACAGCCCGTGTGCGCAGGGGCAAGGTAAAGCCGAGCCGACCTTTCCGGAATCGTGGACAAGCCCAGCTGTGCTGGGCCACGTGAGCGAGCGCCACAGAAGCCCACGGAAGCCAGTGCCCTCAAGCATGTGGCACATTCCCACCCGGCCAGCCGCCCCAAGGAGAGCCGGCCGCGTTGCCCCCTGGTTTCCCAGGTAATCCTGCCCACAGGTAAATTCTCCCCAGGCTGGCAGGGGGGCAGCACGAGCAAATACTCACGCCCGGATTCTGGAAGGGTCCATCCGCTCAAAAGAACCAAGGTATGAAGACACATTACATCAGGGCACCCACGTGCCCACAATAAACCCATCCACCATCCTAGGGGCGGGAAGTGAGACAACAGGGAGAGAGAAACAGGCGGGCGCCCGACCTACCTTGACGGCTCAAGAGGCACTCTCCTGAGGGGAAGCCCAAGGAAAAGGTGCAAC